AGCCTCGCACGTGACAGCACTCGGCCCCCTTTCTGGGTAGGACCACGCCAAGCAGAAGGCATTTTTGGAGAAGTGTGAAAAGTGTGATCTAAGCAACGGTATAGGAAGAAAGCCTGATATTATGACTCAGGCGTAGTCTTTGATGCAGGAGCAATGATTTAAAAACCCGAGCCGGAGCGACCAACGTCAGGACTAGCCGTCAACGTAAGTTATCCTGCCGTCTTCAAAGTGCATCTGAAGGTTAGCGGCGACGCATATTTATTTAATTTTGAGGAAAACCAGACTCGAGCGCCAATATATAAATACTGTTCAGGATTCTACTGAAAAATACCTTTTGGATGGTATACTTGGGTGACTCCAGGGCGAGGAGTCACTCAAGTAAACAATTACCTCTTGTCTTGGTGTACAACTTTAAAGTCGAGTCGTTGGTCTCAAGGGTTGCCAGACTGGTGGTGGGTCGAGTCGCCGCTAGAGCGCGCTCGTGTCGCCCAAAAGTCGCGAGACGCGGAGGAGCCCAAAAGTCGCCCAAAATTCGAGAGCGTCGTGTAGCAAAGGCAGTGACAGAACGGCGAGTAGTGGGGGAAGGCAGAGGGCGGTTGGCGCGCAAAATTCAAGTCGAGCTTCGTTATTTGTGCGGTGATTTTATGGCGGAGCCCAAAAACGCTGGCTCGGAGGCCGAAGGAGCCCAATTGGCAACATTATTTGTGCAGTTTAGCGGGGATTTTGTAGCGGAGCCCAAAAATCGCCGGCTTGGAGGCCGAAGGAGCCCAATTGGCGACATATCGCCTGACCGACAAAATTTGTCGCGAACGGAGCCGTCGAGGAGCCCAATTGGCGACTTGTAGCCCAATCTGGCAACCCACCGTCTCACACAGTCCCACAAAGTATTTTTAGACTCCGTATGAACGTAGGTATGGCATGAACTAGGATATCTGGAATCGGTCACCTTCTTCATCCCGAAAAGAAATCAAAACTATGAGTTTTAGCTTCTTTTTTTTTCGAAATGTCAAGTTTCAGCTGCTCGAAAAAATAGTAAAAATTATCCGATCAAAAATATTTGAAGCCCCCCCCCCCTGACTTTTCAAGGGTTTAGGATATATTTCCTAAATTTGGCTAAAACGACCAATCTTTACTCAGACGGCCCCTGAGTGTCGTCCTTTCATCTTAACAATAACATGCTTTGCCCGGGTACTGAAAAATGTCCGCTGAATCCGAATCAGTGTTCGGGTTTTACCGATTTTGTCATCTTATGGCCCAAAATGCCACTCCATGAACCTAGAATAGTGGAATCACGACGGAAATGACCTTAACTTAGCCCTTAGAGTAATATATTAAAAACAATAGCGAAAATTGGAGTTTAAAGGCTGTTCGACAAATAAAACAAGCTACAAAACTGCGCTAGTTCAGTTTCTTACTTATTTATTCTTTAGCAAAGAAGAAGGGTGGGGTGCAGTCACGGTGTTGCCCCGTCACAATCCTTTCTCGTGACCAAGGAGCAAATCTTCAGGGCCGCAGGACATCACGGAAGCCTTAGTTTACCCAGATATGCAAAGTGACTTATAGGTCGAGCCGCAGGCCCGACAAAACGCCCCGGGTAGGCCGAGCCAGGATCAGCCCCTGCCGAACAGAGTTGCCTGCGGAGCGAAGTGAAGTATGCAACTCTGTTAGGCGGAAGGGCGGGCCTAGCCTGTTTTTGTTTTGTTCAGAAATGTGGAGGACAAAGAGTAACTTAATATTTAAAAGCTTTTTCCGTCCCTGTACTTTTTAAATAAATTAGTCCAAAATGGACCATCCGATCCGAGTAAATCAGTTCCTGGTAGAGAAAGCTCTTTTCCTATATTCAAGTAGACATCTGGAGACGCAGCTTTCATAGAAGGCCACCGCAATTTAATGTCGGCGTCCGTCATGTCAGGAACGGGATCCCTGAAACGAAATCAGCAACAATTAGAAGGTACCTGTATTTACCTGTGATTAGCACTAGTTACCTGTATTTACCGCTACTTAGCTTTAATTAAGTGTACACTCTAAAAAAAATCACAGATTTTTGTATCAAATTTGATACAGTTTTCTGTATCCGGGCACTGTGATACAGAAATTCGTAATGATGAT